GTTAGAAACTTTAAGGCTATTATGTTAATTTTTTACCGAAGCTTGGTTATGTTCTGAAGATATCAGGAACTTTTAAGAATAGTCTCATTTATTATTTTCATTCTAAACACTGGCTTTGTTCTATGATGTGATAACTTTTATTTGAAAGGGAAAGGGAAAACTGTGAGGGGTTTCTGGGCTGGGGTTTACCCCAGCAAGCTGCTTTGTGCTCCCTCAGGATTCTGGGGCTTTTAACAGTGACTTCTGTGACTCACCAGAGCTCTTGACTAAACCCTCACTCCCCTTTCTACCTTCTTCATAGTCTTTCTAGCTTCTCAATTCAGATCTTTGTAATCTCTCTAAGCTTTTCTTCCATACTTTGTTCCAATTTATCATGGACCTTACTTGACAAGTACATTCCTCTCTGGAAATGTCAATGGTTTCTCCCTGTTTTTCACCAAACACAATTGTGTTGGGGTGGCGCCTGTGGCTCAAAGGAGTAGGGTGCCCATCCCATATGCCGGAGATGGCGGGTTCAAACCCAGCCCTGGCCAAAAAAAAAAAAAAAAAAAATTGTGTTGGAAATAGCATCAAAAATTGTCTTTAATACCATCCTCATGACTCCTGTAGCATGTTTTGATAAATAATACTAAGACAGTACTTGGGTCAGTCACCTAACTCTTCCAATTGATTCAGTCTTCAAAGTTTCTTTACTTTTGATGGACATTTTTAGAAGCTCTAAGAAATTCTCTAAGGGGTGGCGCCTGTGGCTCAAAGGAGTAGAGCACCGGCCCCATATGCTGGAGGTGGTGGTTCAAACCCAGCCCCAGCCAAAAACTGCAAAGAAAAAAAAAGTCTCTAGGAAACAAAAAGTCATATTTCATTGACTTTGCTAATAAATTTTCATGGCTAAAAACAGAAACTTCTCAGATATCTAGTTATTTTAAGGTTTAGACTTTTTTGAGGGGAGGGGCTTTCATTTTATCCATTTTTCTCCCTACAACTTTGCATTCTATTTTTAAAAATTTTTATTAAAAAATATTTTTTAGAGATAGGCTCCTACTATGTTGCCCAGTCAAGCGATCCTCCTGCCTCAGCCTCCTGGGTATCTGAAACTACAAGGGCCTACCACAATACCTGGTATTTTCCTACAAATATACAATTTAGTGAAACCCACATACCAGCTTAGGACAGGAATATTTCTTGATTTTCTGGTTATATACTTTTATTGTTCTGTTTTTATTTTTATTATTTGTTTATTATATGTTTTTGAGACAGAGTCTCACTGTTTTGTGTCCTCACAGATCACTACAATATCAAACTCCCAGGCTGAAGTGGTCCTCCTGGCTCAGCCTCCCAAGTAGCACCCAGCTAATTTTTCTATTTTTAATAGAGATAGAGTCTGGTTCTTGCTCAGGCTGGTTTTGAATTCCTCAGCTCAAAGGATCCTCCTGCCTTGACCTCCGAGAGTGCTAGTATTACAGGTATAAGCCGCTGTGCCCAGTTTGTTTTTAGTTTTTATATCAATGTTAAATTATTGTTTCTCTTCCATTTGTTACTTTATATTACATTTGACTAATATTGGATGAAAATAAGTGGCTCTCAGAGATATTCTTACCAAATTCAGGGTACCATCCAAATAATGCTAGTGTGGATGGGATTTGGGGTGAAATGCTGTATACCCCTGGCTTAGTCTATTTGGGCTGCTATAACAAAATACCATAACCTGGGTAGCTTGTAAAGCAATAGGAATCTAATTCTCATAGTTCTGGATTCTCAGAAGTTCCAGGCGCTAAAGATTTGTTGTTTAGTGAGAGTCTCTGTGTTCTCTAACTCACATGGTGAAAGGGACAAGGGATCTCTTTTGAGCATCTTTCAAAAGATCTTCTCAAGACCTTATTGCCTAATGCTGTTACACTGGGGATTAGATTTCCACATACAAATTTTGAGGGACATGAGAATTCAGTCCACTGCAACTCCTGACAGCCAAAACTATCTCCAGATTCAAGTGATGGGGCATGCCTTCTCCTTTGCTTCTAGTGTACCCTCTACATATGCCTCTTAAAGGATTTTGTTTAATATTGTGTTTATTTATCATCGTTTTTAGAAGACTGAATTTCTTAAGCAGCATCTAGCCCAATATAAATGCTCATTGAGTAAATGAACGAAGGCAACAATAAATGACATATAGCAAACTTTTGCTAACTTTTCAGGAGGTACTATCATGTGTTTTGTTGTTTGTTTATTTATTTACTTATTGAGACAGTCTCCCTCTGTCGCCCTGAGTAGGGTGCTCTGGTGTCATAGCTCATAAAAACCTCAGACTTGGGCTTGAGAAATCCTCTTGCCTCAGCCTATGGAGTAGTTGGGACTACAGGTGCTTGCTACAATGTCCATCTAGTTTTTCTATTTTTAGTAGAGGGAAGTCTCCCTCTTGCTCAGGTTGGTCTCTGAGCTCCTGAGCTCAAGCAGTCCACCCGTCTTGGCTTCCCAGAGTGCTAGGATTAGAGATGTGAGCCACCATGCCTGGGCATGTATTGGTTTAGAGCAGTGGTTCTCAACCTTCTGATGCCACGACCCTTTAATTCAGTTCCTCACATTGTGCGACCCCAACCGTAAAATTATTTTCCCTGCTACTTCATAACTGTAATTTTGCTATTATTATGAATCATAATGTAAATATCTGATATGCAGGAGACCCCCAAAGGGGTCGCAACCCACAGGTTGAGAACTGCTGGTTTAGGGCATGAACTCTGGTGCCGGGATCATCTGGATTGAAGTCTTGGCTCCGTCATTTATTAGCTGTGTGTCCTTAGATAACTGTCTGTCAGGTTTGTGTATCTCAGATTTGCCATTCAAATATGTTATTATAGTTCTTAACTCATATAGTTGTTATAAAGGTTAAAGGAAGTTGTCTGTGCAAGGTGCTGAGAACAGTGCCTATATCTGTAAGTGCTGTGTATATAATTGGTTGCTACTATTCGTCTATTGTATTAGCCTTTTTTTTTTTTATAGCTCTGTCATGGAATAATGGGTGCCCTTAGGAAATTCATTCTAAAATTCACTTTTTCTGCTGTCAGAATGAATAAGTACTTTGTTTCTGCTTTGTGTTCAAGAGCCCTAGGGTATGGGAAGGGAAGGTGGAGGTCCTCCATATATCACACAGCTACAGGTGTTTGTATCTTTATCAGTCCTGGCTGGGTAAGCTCTCCTTGAACTAGTAGAGGGTAGAATTATATCAATCCAGTATAGCAACACTGTTACTTCAGGGTGATTCTGATTCATCTTAATTCAGAGGATAAACAACGTAATCATTCATTAGTAAAGTTTATTTAGTAGGAAAATCTTTAACAGTGAATTGTGGGAGAGACAATGAAAGGTATTTGATGACAAATAGGACTGATAGATTTGTGTGGTCATCCACAGCATGAACTGTTAATGATTCTTTGCATTTTAAAAAGTGTTCTATTTGGTGGCGCCTCTGGCTCTAGTGGCTAAGGTGCCAGTCACATACACCTGAGCTGGCGGGTTTGAATCCAGCCGGGGCCTGCCAAACAACAATGACAGCTATAACCAAAAAATAGCCAGGCGTTGTGGCGGTCGCCTGTAGTCCCAGCTACTTGGGAGGCTGAGGCAGGAGACTTGCTTGAGCCCAGGAGTTGGAGGTTGCTGTGAGCTATGATGCCACAGCACTCTACCCAGGGTGACAGCTTGAGGCTGTGTCTCAAAAAAAAAAAAAAAAGGCATTCTATTTAATATTTAATATGATTGCTTGTATCTAGCTATTGGCCTTAGATTTATTTTGTACTTTTCCTCCTAGCATTTTATTATAAAAATTTTAATATACAGCAAATTTGAAGGATTTGACAGTGAACACTTATATATTTAACACATAGATTCTAAAACTAACATTTTGCAATACTTGATCACAAAGCTATATATATTTATCTATTCTGTGCCCATTCCTACATACATTTTATTTTTTATTTTTGAAACAGTGTCACTATGTCGCCCTGGATAGAGTGCTGTGGCATCATAGCTCACAGCAACCTCAAACTCTTGGGCTTAAGCAATTCTCTTGCCTCAGCCTCCCGAGCAGCTGGGAGTACAGGCACCTGCCACAATGCCTGACTGTTTTTTTGTTGTAGTTGTCATTGTTGTTTAGCAGGCCTGGGCTGGGTTCAAATCTGCCAACCTCAGTGTATGTGGCTGGCGCCCTACCCACTGAGCTACGGGCGCCAAGCCTCCTCGTACATTTTATATTTTTATATGTTTGGTTTGTTTTATTTTGTGATTTGACCATGTGTAAGGTCAGAGGAGTCAGTGTTTTTATTTTCAACCTGTAGGAATAGTGACATAGTAGTTTACACATAGTGATTCATCAATCAGGGCTTTTAAAGAGTTATAAAATAAGACTTGCTCTTACTGGAAGGATTCTTTAGGAGTCAAGGTGGGGATAGGGGAAGAAACAGGTAGGTGGGAAAAATAAGCCCATGAGAAAAGAATTTAATCTAATAAATACCTCAGCAAAATATTATTTTTTAGTTGCACTTTGCAAGCTCTGTAGGTCAGCTCTTCTTGTTTCAAATAAGTGGCAACATTTATGGAGCAGAAAGGAACTAAGTTAAAAAAAAAACGTTTTAAAGAAAATTCTTGCAAGTTGAAGGTTAATACCACACACAGCAACCCCTGTGTATAATATCAGTGTTGTGTACACTTTACTTCCTATAGACAGTTAAGTTTAATTACAGAGCTTTCCTTTGACCACCAGAACAGTCTACACTGCTAGTTCTTTTGCGTTCTGAAAACAACTCTCAAGGGCATGAATGGGTCATAGGGCAAAATCTTGATTATAATCCAAAAAGAAGGCGTACTTTGTTCTTTTCGTGAACTGTGGAAGTGCTCCCTAGAAAGCCATAGGGAGAGCGGTTTGGGCTGCTGCTGTTTTCTGGGAATGCATGTTTGCTAGAGAGGCAGAAGCTGCAGCGTTGCTAACAGGCATGTATCCATTTCACTTTCAGTTTACTTCTTTGAGATGGACATGATATAATCTGCGCCCACAGAATGGCATCTAGTTCTGTGCTTCCTGCTGAAGACGGCAGACAGGTTTCCTTGGGCATTGATGATCTCCATATTTCACTGCAAGGTAATTAGATTGGGGACTATGGAAACTTACTCTCATTAGTCACAGATTGCATTGCTGTCTGTCTCTCTCAGGGTGATTCTTAATATATCTGTGTGTTTCCAATTGTAAAAACCTGTCAGTACACTTAAATTTCTTTATTGCTATCTCAGCTCTCTAGAAAAAAGTAGCTGATACCTGGAAGGAGTTTGGTATCTCTAGTTTCTTACTCTGAGTGTCTGTATTTTATTTGCAGTGAAAATTAAATAGTTAACTGTAGTTTACTTGGTATTGTTTCTACTTACTTTGTATCTTTTTGCAGACCCTCTTAAAGGCACATTCTTAGTTTTTACCAATAGAAGAGTAGACCCCCTCAGTAAGTTGACCACCCAAGTGTCTGTAACAAACTGGTCAACATACAAAGGTGGCCAAGAGAAGAAACTAGGCCTACTGTACTGACGTGTGCATGTGGTGTGTGTCTGGTCTATGAATATTAGGCCAATTTAAGGAGGTTGTCAGTGTGTGGGGGGTGGTCAGCTAGGGAGGTTCTGCTGTATTATATATGAATGACTTTTCAAACATGTGAATCATGTGTGCCATACATAAGTTCTATCAGTTTTTGGTTTTCGTGCTTCTTAGGGAGCTTGGCAATATTTGTGCTATATTTTAAAAATTCCTTAGCCACTAGACCTTCACCTTGGTTGATAAAGTGACTCTTGGAGTTAAGTTAGCTAGTATAAAAGAGCTAAGGCTACAGCAAATGTTTAAAAATACTCATGAAAGTATTTTCAAGTAATTTTAAGATTACAGGCAATATTTTGTATTTGAAAATACTCATGAAAGTATTTTAAAGTAATTTTAAGACTATGGGCAATATTTTCTTTTTTTTTGAGACAGAGTCTCACTCTGTCACCTTCAGTAGAGTGCTGTGGCATCACAGCTTTTAGCACCTCAAACTCTTAGGTTTAAGTGATTCTCTTGCCTCAGCCTCCCAAGTAGCTGGGACTACAGGCACCCGCCCACAACACCTGGCTATTTTTTGGTTGTAGTTGTCATTGTTTGACAAGCTTGGGCTGGATTTGAACTTGCCAGCTCTGGTGTATGTGGCTGGCACCCTAGTTGCTGAGCTACAGGTGCCAAGCCATGGAATTTATTTTAGTTTAGTACACTTAGTATGATTCTGGATGGTCCACATTTTAAACAAATTTGAGATATAGAAATTCAGATTATTAAAAAGATAAATGGCTGTCTTTAAAAATTATTTGCTTTGACTCATCGCCTGTAGCACAGTGGTTATGGCGCCAGCCACATACACCGAGGCTGGTAGGTTTGACCCGGCTGCAACAACAACAAAAAATAGCCAGGCATTGTGGTGGCTTCTGTAGTCCCAGCTACTGGGAGGCTAAGGCAAGAGAATCACTTAAGCCGAGGAGTTTGAGGTTGCTGTGAGCTAATGATGCCATAGCACTCTACCTAGGGTGACATAGTGAGACTGTGTCTCAAAAAAAAAAAAAAAAATTATTTCTAAGATGTTTATTAGAGAATTCCTTCAAATCTTTCCATGTGGGTTTCTTACTTGGCAATGTATTATAATAAGCGCTTCTTCCCCTTTTAACATAATAAAAATAGAAACTATTTTGTCTGAAGCATCTCTGCTAAGCCTTTTAGGTGGGAAAGGTGTGTTGAGGGAACAATTTTTCGAAATGTTGGAGAGAGAGAATTATGAAAGCAGTAAGGGGGTAAAGTTGGAAAAGTATCACAGGCTTTTAAAATTGGAAGGGATTTTCTTTGCTGTTCAGTGTAATTTAAGACCACAGTAGGAATTCCTTTGAAAGTATTTGTGAGGTTAAGGGAATTCAAACCTGACTACTTTTTTCCCCCCCGTTTAACATGAGGGTACACATGATTCTATTGCATTTACTTTTTGGCAGTGTACAGATATTGGGTCTTGAGAGAGAAAGCTACCTGGTCACAGGACAGAGTTGTGCCTGAGGGGATTAATCTGGCTTTGAGGTAAAGAAAGGCTGGAAAAGGGCAAGAAAGTAGGGTTGGGGAAATCACTTAGGAAGCATTTGCAAATATCTGGGTGTAATGTAATATTTTCCTGGCCTAGGGTCATAATAGCGAGGGTGAAAGTGGGGAATAGCTATGAAAACTTTGATGTGGAAGACTCAGCAGGACTTTACCTTTCTTTCTTTCTTTCTTTCTTTTTTTTTTTTTTTTTTATAGTTTTTGTTGGGGACTGGGTTTGAATCCACCACCTCCACCTCCCATATATGGGGCCGGCACCCTACTGAGCCACAGGGGCCGCCCTCAACAAGACTTTTCAACCACTGAGTACAGAGAATAATATGGTGCAGAGACTCCCAGGTTTTGAAACTTGGGGTAATACTGGTAGCACACATAGTGTACATATTATTAACTTTATTTAATGTGTTTTTACTAAGCATAATATCAAATTAGAAGGCTATTAAGTATTATTAATGTCAGTGTGCTCAACACAAATTGTTATAAATAAACAGTACTTTACACGACCTGTAATCCTAGTATTCTGAGAGGCTGAGGTGGGAGGATCACTTGAGCTCAGGAGTTTGAGAACAGCCTGAGGAAGAGCGAGATCCCCTCTAAAAAAAAAAGAAGGGTACTTCACAAAAAATCTCCTATGCTATGGAAGGATTAATATGACATGGGGGCATTTGAAAGTGATAGTGATATTGGCCGCTGAGGTGGAGTCATCTAGAGAACTTTTTTTTAACTTAAAATTTTTAATTATTTAGGGGGACATAATAGTTAAATATATATGGGGTACATGTGATGTTTTGATACAGGCATACAATGTGTAATAATCAAATCAAGATAATTGGAGGTATCCATCACCTCAAGCATTTATTATTTCTTGAAAAATTTTAAATGACAACTGTAGCCAACTTTGAACTGTTTTGGACACTTCCCTTATATATTTCATATTTAAGTTATTTATTAATTAATTAATTAATTTATTTATTTTGAGACAGAGCCTCCAACTGTCCCCCTGGGTAGAGTGCTGTGGCTTCACTGCTCACAGCAATCTCCAACTCCTGGGCTCAAGCGAGTCTCCTGCCTCAGCCTCCCAAGTAGCTGGGAC